AGTATTCAGAAAGAGACAGAGAGAGAAAGAAGAGGGGAGGAGTTGATCTTGCGAGAACTTCCGGGCGGGTGAGAATAGCCACTTTAGACTTTAGCCACTTTCTATATTTATATAGGCCTCGTACAGCAATATTTGGACAGAAACACTAGATCTATAGTGCGTATAGACACTCCCCCCAAAAAAACCCAAAACAAACAAAAAAACACACACACACTCAAAAACCCAAACTTTTTAGGCCTACACAACCGTACAATCACAAATGTCATACAAACCAACATTGTATTTTTTATTCGTTATAGATCTATCGTGATCATAGTTGCGTTTCTGTATTTTTATTTACCAGTAAAGCGGAAGTTACAGGGCTGTGTCGAAGGGTCAAGGTCTTTTGTTAACAAGTTCAGTATCAATGTTTGTTGACGTTCTCATCCGCACGTGCGACTGTAACTGAAAAGCCGGTACCTGACAAGGGGGCATTCATGTGACCTGTCGGCTTCATCAACCTTCTCGACTGCTGTGTTCATTTTTGGTATTGATCTTTTGATAGATGTACAAGACTGATTAGCCTAGACTCCAGTGACTGAGATAATGTCATAAATGTGATGGCACCAGTCATTGAGTTGAGTCATTGTCATTGGATTAATCTTGATCTCATTGAATCATATGCTAGATCTATATCTAGAATCTAGATCTAGATCTAGATATTAGATTAGATCTAGACTAGATCTAGAATCTAGACCTAGAATCTAGATCTAGATCTAGATTTAGATCTAGATCTAGATCTAGATTAGATATCAAGATAATTTAATATTTTGAAGGGAACCGTGGAATGTGTACTGTCCACTGTCTTGTTTAAACAGGGATATAAAGGATGGTAGTGTCAATTGCCACCGAGTGACGCGGTGGCAGTTGACAAAAATTGACTTTTTGTCAATTGCCATCGAGTAAATTGGAGCTCTTTTGCGTTGGTGGGTAGATCTAGATATCTAGCTTATTGTGCTCTAGTGGACAGTTGACAGTGTTGTGTGTTCGCCTCTCTGTCCCTCTGTGTCAGTGTGTGTGTGTTTTCCTGACCCCTGTCCCCCGATTTATGTTCCCCGATATAACATGAATTTCTGCTTGAGTTTGTTTGCGTTTTGACCTTCTACTTCTAGAATTGCCTGTGTTGGTTCTACACGAAAGTGTAGGCTAAGGCTAGCCTAGATCTAGATCTAGGCCTACGTCTCATTGAAAACACGCCAAGTTGGCACTGTAGCTCTAGACTAGATGCTCGTCCAATGAAATTAGTTGAGAACAAATTGACCCATCAGACACACATTATGTATAATGCTAAATAGATAGTGTTGTTTTCAGACTTGACACCGCTTCACTCGGTGGCAATTGACAAAAAGTCAATTTTTGTCAATTGCCACCGCGTCACTCGGTGGCAATTGACGCTACCTCTAATATATAAACTAAACTTATTCAATGTTGCATTACTAAATTACATCATGTACATGTGCATATTGTACAGACACATATTGCAGTCTGTTATCTGCCCTAGAGTCTAGAGTACGGAATATATGGTACATGTTTTCTCTAATGGAACTTTGTCTTTGCAGCACTGCAAGGAGTTTAAGATGTCTAGATCTAGATATTAGATGTAGATCTAGATCTCTAGATCTAATTTTTAAAGTGAAATCTAATGAGATCTAATTGGCACTGGTATTATTTTAGTTTCACTCTTATGACTTTGTCTCATGTTCAGATAGATCTAGATTTAGATCTAGATTCTAGATGTCTAGATCTAGATCATCTTGTTCATTATTATAGTTTTTACGAAGTGTATACAGACCCGGTAACCGGGAACAAAGTCATGAAGTATACAGCCCCGATAGGGGAACTGTTTTGTGATTTCGGAAAGTGTTTCAGCGTCCAGACCCGGTCAATGTGTGTGAGAGAGAGAGAGAGAACAGGGGGAAGTGCTAGCAAAATGTATATGACATGACCCAGTTGGCAGGAGGGAAAGAGAGAAAGATAGAGTGGGAAATAGGTGGGGAGAAAGAAAGACAGAGACGAACAAAGAAAAAGAGAAGGCGAGTGATACTCAGAGGAGAGAGAGAGAGAGGCAGAGAAATAGAGAGGATGACTGCTCGATTGAAGTTATGACATTGTTCTTTTCTTAAAATTATGATTCCTCCAACTCCAAAATGGTGGAAAAAGGATTGTTCATCGAGAAGACATCGGCAATCTTCATTTAGATCAAGATCTAGGCAAGCCTCGAAACTACATCAATAAATCAATGATTTATGTCTGTCTGTCTAGATCTAGAAGAACCTAGGTCTACCCTGAGCCAAGAGGGCGCTGATACTTTCCGAAATCACAAAAGAGTTCCCCTACCGGGTCTGTATACTTTATGACTTTGTTCCCGGTTACCGGGTCTGTATACACTCCCTAGTTTTTATAGCATTTTCATCTGTTTTACACAAATTTTAGCTAAAAACATCTGTCTCAGACACATATTAAGTACAGCGAGCACCTAGCACACCTCTGTGATTGGCCCAAATATAGATGATTTCCACCATCTATTTTTGTTGTTTTCCAGTTTCCCCAAAGACTCTTGGGTTTCCCTCGCCAGTTACTGTTGACTTGATCTCGTTGTTTGATCTTGTTTGGTATGGTTTTGTGTTATCTTTTATAAACAATCTCAGTGATTCTCGTTCCATAAATTTAACTTCTCCTCAAAGTCAAAGTTTTACACACACACACACACACAAGCCCATATGCACATACACACGCACACACACACAAGCACGTGCACCCATAGCCCAAGCAGCTGGCAATGAAACCTATAGTGACGTAGCCCATCGCGGGCTAAGCGGCCAAGTGGGCCCGCAAAGGTGAGATCTAGTGAACCGGCGAAAGAAGCCCCGGAAGATAACAAAAATAGATGGCGGAAATACGTCATCTATATTTGGGCCAATCACAGAGGTGTGCTAGGTGCTCGCTGTAGCTTCATGTGAATTAAATCTGTGCTGTCATTCAGAATTCGCATAAGTTTAACTATATATAATTAAATATATACCACTGATAATTTTAGATCTATGTCTACCTCAATGACCGTATCAATTTTGACCTATCTAAATCTTGTCAGTCTAGAAGCGAGTATGTAGATTTAGCTGGTACAGCTATCTTTCTTTCATACCTGTACTAGATCTCTATATTTGATTCAGGTAGTTTTATCATTGTAAATTAGTAATTCGGTCAACCTATTGTAATTTGACAGTTTTATGACCTGACTACACGTGGCTCCTGTTGTTTTGCAATGGTGTTAGTCAGAAAAGTCATCCATAATCATCTTAAGTTAGATTATTATAATATATTTGGACTCTGCAGTCTGTGCAGTTCAGCTAGATGTACCCAATGCTACCATAGAAATGAAATACAATCGTATAATTTTTACTAGGTTTTGGAATTTAAATTTTAGACCTATCTAATCATGGAACATGTATTCCTTTCAGCAGTACACATATTTTGACCCTTTACGTCTGAGATAAAGGAGGAAGTTAACTCCAGCATGGCACAGGTCCTCCGTCAGTGTGTGGTGACTTTTGTCCGTCTGGGATCCACCAAAGTTGCTCATTCTACCCCAGGCATTAGGCTGAATAATCACAGGTAATGTTTTAGTTGCCTTCGGTCTTCAGTATCTTCTGATAGAGTTGTCTGCTTTGTAAAATGATTAACAAGAAGTCATGTATGGGTATTTTTTTATGTCAGTGAATACCCCTTTCATTGTGCCAATACTTGGAAGGATTGTGAGAGCGAGAGACTGGACCATGAGTCTCTTGTCGGCTTTACATCACTGTTATTGTATAATAATATGTACATAACACTAATATATTGACTTGATTGTTACAGTATTCAGTTTTGTCAAAATGCTGTGGAATCAGGCACTCATCGGTTTCTAGGATATGGAGTTATTGACCTGGTACAACATTTACCCTTTCACAACAAGGGGGTTTTCCTCACCTGAAAAGGACCCTTTCAGATTCTGCCTACCCTCAGACAAATGAAAGATTTTGAGTTCAATTTTCAATATTAGCCACATGTGTATAAAAATAAAGGGGAAATGATGACATGCTGCTAAAAATGATTAATTCTTCAGCCTGAGATTTTAGTTTTGATTATTACAAAAGTATGTGTCCTTTTGAAGCAGGAAGTGGAGAGCCATGAAACACGACTCATGGTCCAGTGCTAGGAGTAACACAAGTAGTGAAAGAGTTGATGCTTCTTCCTTTGTTTTGCTTATGATGAAAAAGAATGACCATTAACCTTTGATAGAAGTTGAGATATTTGCTGTTGAATTTGGTCAAGGTCGCCTTTTAGTGACATCCAAAGCTTGAGCGTCTTTGGAAACTGCAGATTTATGTTTTTTGTGCCTTTTGATCAAATTAGTTCAGTAAAGTCCTTACACAGCAATGTGTTTTTGGATGGACGTAAAAGTAAAAGGCGTTGAGCAAAAAAGACAACTGGACTAAAATTGTCCAACTGGCAGAAAAATGTGTTTCTTTGATTTCATTACTCTGATGAGTGCTTGATTTCACCATGCTGTGGCACACATTCATTTCTTGTAGCTGCTGCTCGTATAAACATGATTCAGTCTTGAGAGGATGATTTATGGTCTGGTATGTTGTGCTCTTTCTTCTTCTTTTCAGTATATCTGTTACCAAAATCTGTTTCCTAGCGAAATGTGGTCACTATTGTGCTCTGGGCCCCAACTGAGCTCAACTCAACTGATGTGTTTTTGAACACCAAGATGTATATTTTTGTCATAGATGGTTTCCAGTAGTTATTGGTAATTTTCAAGTCTTCTGTGTTCTAGAATGTTTTGTAATTGTAGCTAACAGATTTTTGTCGCGAGGGTTCCTTAAGCTATATTGACACAGTCCATCAGATGAGAGATCAGGGGTTTGAAATACAGGAAAAAATTTAATTCTCCCGATCCGGCTAAATAATGTTATGGTACCTTTTACCCATGCTACTGAGATTTGCCAAATTATGAGGTGATTAACGTTTTCTTCAATGCTTTCATTTCAGACTCTACTTGAAACTGTTAGGAGGTGGAGTTTTATGCCAGTTTTCCTTGTTCAGTTGGAAGGTTAGTTTTTATACAAGATTGAGCTGTAAAAGCTTGCTTTTTGGCCCAAGCAGTTACGAACATATTTGAATGTGCTTTATTTAGCCTGGACAAGATAAAATTTGGACTAGTGACTGATAGTCACTTGAAAGGAATGAAAAATGCATGTGCCCTTACCAGTACATCAATGATAAAATTGACCTGGTCAGGGTTTGATGTTTTGATGACTTGCTTTATGCTGTGTATGTTGAGCATTCACAGAAGTACCTATTTTTGGGCATATGGAATTATTGACTTAGAAGTACCTTTGTTAAAAAGTGTCGTCTTTTTGTGTGTGTGTATGCTATTTAAACATTTTTTTTTGGGGGGGGGGGAATGACAAGGTGACAGCTTTGATTCTCATAGACAGAGGTGGGACTATGTGACAATGTGAATGAACTGAATGGTCTAGCTTTGTGATGCTTTTTACCTTTTACAGTGATTAAAAAAAAACATTTTCAGCATACTATTGTCCTTTTTAATCAGTGTGCACAGCAATCATATCTCTGAGTAAGTACTTATGATGTTACAAACTTAGGTTTCTGGTGGTTTTATGTCATTGTTTGTTTCATTATTTTGTTCCAATATTTTGAAAAGTGGATCTAATCAGAAAGTATCCACTTTTTTGTATAAGCACATCCTTACACTTTTTCATTTTATTGTTTTGTCATTTTATAGGGTTCCAGAAAGCCTGATGTGGACTCCAGTGACTCTTGGATGTCTGAGCCCATCACGTCCCTTGATGAGTTGAAACAGGTCTGTAAACATTTGAGAACTCTCAGGAATTAAGAAATTATAAAATGAACCTTGATCTTACTACTGATCGAATCTTAAGTTTAGGTGTGCCCCAAGATTTTGATGACAGCAAGGCATGTCAGACTTTAGCTTTTGAAGGGGTGCAAACTTTTTTCCAAATATATATTTCTGGGCCATATTACAAATGAAATGTTCTACTGTTCTGAATTTAAAAAGTAGAGGATATAAGTTTCTCAATTGTACCAGACGTAATTATGAACCAACATTTTAGATTAGTTTAGACACAGAGGAAACTGTTGGAAAACTATGTCAACGTTACATTGCCTCAGAACTGTTTGTTGAAAGAGCACAAGTATAAAGTGCAATTTGGACAAAACAGTTCTGATACAACGATTAATGTATAATGAGATGAATTTACAATGAAGACTGATATTTGTCTTGTTAAAATGTGTGCATGATTGAATGGTTACAGTATATAATACTGATGGCTTTTTTCTCTGTTGGGCTTGTTTGGCAGAACGGAGATGACATGAAGTGCAAGATGGAAGCCATGATCATGCGGATTCAGTCTGAGTTTGTTCACGCTGTGGAGAAAGAGGAGTTAGAGGAGGGTGGGAAAAAGTTTCTAGTTGACAGGTGGCTGCGAGAGCAGGTAAAGAATGCATACTTATCTAACTGCCCTGTGAATATTTTTACCTTTATTAAAGAAAAAAATTGTCACCGAGCTTTGTCAGAAGTTTTTAAAAAGTTGCTTTACACCATGATGAGAGTTTAATTCAATTTTATTGCTTTATTTCATTGTTTTCTTTATTAGTGAGTCTGTATAAAGCTGTGCAGTAATTTTGATTTTCGATACATATTATGACAATCGCTGCTGCTTGAGACTATGATATTGAAGCTGTTAATTGTGGTTTTGTCTTATGATAGTGGAGCTGATGGTTGGAGGGTGTCACTGGTTGGTTGTACTTCTTTTTCCTCTTTTTTTTGGCGTCTCTTCTATCTTGCTCTTTCCCTGCACTGAATGACTGCTATTGTGTCAATGTGCTTCTTGTTTCTGTCACTCAAACCTCAGACTCAATTATATATATATATGGCTTTCCTTGTACTGACAATGTTTGTGTTCCACTCTTACACCGTACTGGTGTTTTTGGTGTAGGAATCAGGTGCTTTGCCATTGCATGTAGAAGATGTCAGTTTTATTCTTGTCGGGGGAAAATTTTGTCAAGTGTCTCCCTCTTTTTGCCAGGATGTTGAATCCATCTCAGCCTGGATTGCCACTAACAGGCCATCTGCTAAATCAATGATCTAAATAGTGTCTATTGCAGTTAAAACTTCTCTGGTTACGTCTTACACCTTGTTGTAAAAATAACATTGAGGAATTGTTGCTTCCCAGGGTGGTGGTGGAATTACGTGTGTCTTGCAAGACGGCACCGTGTTTGAAAAGGCTGGAGTGAACATCTCTGTGGTCAGTGGCATCCTGCCCCCCAACGCTGTGCAACAGATGAGAGCCAGGTGTGGGCCAAGTTATGTTGGTGCAAAGTTATTTTATTTGCGTTACGGGCTTGAAGTTGTGGAATCACATTTTCGAGATATATGAGAGCAAAGCTTGTTAATCCCTTTCCTGTTCAGTTCAGTCAGTACAGGCCAGTAAGATACGCAATGCTAGAGCTCAACCCAATTGAAACCGGCTGGACACTCGGCTTAGTTCTGCCTCAGGATTTCCTGAAGGGTAGGCTTGGACTTGGATGATAAAAATAGATTGCTGACATTCAGTTGTAGCCATGTTTTTATTTCAAGTGAGGAAATTGTTAGAGTAGCATTTGCTGTCAGAATTTATTTTTACGCCTATTTAACAAACAAAAATATGAAGATTATGTAGCGTCGATAGTCTAATAATTATGCTATCACACTCGTAATTGTGAGTTTGTGGGTTCGGATGTCTGGCTTATTGTGTCTTTTGGAAGGGCACTTTACACAAATTTTCTTCACTTTACCCAGGCGGGTCAGGTATCTGGTCATAGACAGCGAAAGATCTTGTCCGTATGTTAGTGTTTTAACGCCTGTAAAACAGTAGCTTGCACTGTATTTTTCCAAGGAACTTGAGTTTCTTTCAGAGTGCTATAAGGTCTGCTGGGGTATTAATATAGACTAAAGTGCATAGAGCTTGCTGTTGAGCGGGAATTTGCACAACGCAAATGCAATCTATTATTATTATTATTATTATTACTAGGAGGCTTCTTAGATTTATATGAGATAAGATAAGATACTTCTTTATTGTCCAGATCCTGACACATTGGTTTGGTGTTTCACCACGTGTACACTCACACACACACACACACACACACACACACACACACACACACACACACACACACACACACACACACACTCACTCGCACACACATGCACACACACACGTAGGCTTACAATCACATGCATAATATAAATGAGCAGCAATATAAACAATAATAATGGTAAGCTAGATACACACTCAGTGTTATTTTGATGCATGCTGTAAGGTCGTAAGTATACTTATACAAGATGGTTAAGATTGAAGCATTTTGATAGATGATGGTAAAAATGACCTTCTATATCTTTCTTTGTTACAAATCAGAAGCCTAGGTCTTTTTCTTCTGACTGATGTTTTTATTTGAGGGAACAAGGGATGTTTATTGTCTATAAAGATCGAATTAATTTTTTTAGTGCAAGCTGTTATGTACAATTCATCCAAGTAGGGGAATGTAGATGTTGAAATTTTACATGCTTTCCGTATTAGTCGATTTAATTTTTCTTTATCTTGTTGTCTTGTGTTCCCGGCCCATGCTCTTATACAAAAATTGATCATACTTTCTGTGGTTGAATGGTAGAACATGGACATCAATGTTTTATCAACTTTAAAATACTTAAGCTTCCTTAGAAAAAGTAGTCTTTTGTTAACTTTTTTATGCAGGAGAGAAGTGTGGACACGCCAGTTGAGTTTGTTGTCTATTGTAACACCCAAATATTTATAGTCGGACACTTGCTCGATGTTTTCACATTTAATTTCGAGTGGCTGCAGGGGCAGTTTCTTTATTCTAAAATGTGAACAGGAAGTTGAACAAATTGGCAGCCATTGTGGGTGAAGAATGTGAATAGGAAAAGGTTATACAGGAAGAGGTTGTGGGTGAAAAGAGACTTTAATGGAGGTTATAAGAGGCTACTAGATTACTCTGCTTCACTCATGTTTCTGAGAAGTAGCAGGAAGGAACTTTTCTATGCTGTCCTTAACACTATCGTCCTTTAATAAGAGTTATAAGTGTCAAAATATCAAGAGTCAAAACTGTTGGTCTTGCTGAATATTTCAAGCCTTTGATTTTAGAAAGAAAAATAGTTGAAAAAAGTTTTTCACTAATTTTGTCTTAATCGTGTTTTTAGCTTTTTACTTTTCTAAAGTTGATTGTTAATGAAGTTGTTTTGATCCACAGAGGAAAGAAAATGAAGGGAGCAAACCTCAAGTTTTTTGCTGCGGGCATCAGTTCTGTGGTCCATCCTGTAAGTCTTGGCCTTGTGGTTATTGGCGATGTGTGGTTATGGCGGGGATGGGATTTAGGAATGCCTTTACATTCTATTTCAATTGTTCCAGCTGAGTGGAATTTCTTTACCCTGGATGTCAATGCTTTTTGGTTCACAGTGGTATATATCTATTTTCTTGTCTAAATCTTCAACGTTTGTAGAGACCATGTGAAGCTATAAATGGCAATTGTTAACTTTATAGTAAGGTTTCTTACTTTTCCGTGAATGTTCTAGGGTGAAAAAAATTGATGACTTGTTTTTTTGTTTTCTTTGTTTTTGATTTTAGATAATTAGGGGATGTATTAGTTTCAAAATTATTTGCAAAGTAAGGCATTACGGTCAGCAACTAAAGTGTTTAAGATTTTCTAGAGCCTTATAAATAAAAAGTATCAACATTTAAAAAACAATTTCTTGTTATGAAGTGTCACTAAAGAAGCGTCTTTTTAAAATTATTTTTGCAAGAATGTAGCATTGTTTTTTTCCTTTCAGCGCAATCCTCATATACCAACTGTTCACTTCAACTACCGCTACTTTGAGGTGGAGAATGATGATGGGGAGAAACACTGGTGGTTTGGTGGAGGCACCGACCTCACGCCCTACTATCTAGAAGAAAAGGTGAGTTGATTTTTACTGACCAGGGCGTTTTTTTGTTGTTCAGTTTTGTTTTTAAATTTTAATTAAAAGGTCTAATCTTTTTGCTCCGATTATGTTTCTCCCCCCCTTGATTTGTATATCTCAGTAGTACTAATTCTGTGAGTTGTAGATCCTATTTTAAAAAGAAATTAATCTTTCTTCACAATTACGATTCCAGGAAGGTTTATTTGAGGGCTATAAATATTTTGGGGCTCTCTTTGTTTGCCCTCATGGAGATAACATGTTACTACTAAGGATTGAAAAGTGGAAGAGTGGTTTCATAAGTGATATCTCAGTGGTTTGTGGAGTCATGTCTGGGTGAATGACTTTGGGGAACATGTATATACATATAAATATATATATATGTGAGGCAGCTTAGTGAAATCAGGAGCTCATCAAAGTAATGTAATTAAGGAAACTGGCATTTTTCTGGCCATTGGGCAATTTCTTTTCGAATTTTCTTTTTTGGTTCAATACTTTCTATGTCCATTTAAGAACACATTTCTGACTGAAAACGTTGATCAAAAGCACAAAAAGGGTAAATTTTCAGTTTCTTAGGACACTCAAGTTTTGGAAGTCACCAAACTTTGGCGATCATTTTGTCGCTAGTTTTACCTCTGGCATCAGGCAACCCCCATTGTCTTCACTAGCAAATATCTTCACTTCTATTCAAGATAGATGGGTATTTTTTTTGGGCAAGATGCACTAACTCCATATGTCCTACAATTGAAGATTGCCAGATTCCACTGCGTCGTGACACATATTTAACTATATTAAATAAAGGGATACAAAGAGTGAGAGAGAGAGAGAGCACCTAATTATTTGAGTGGGGAATTGTCCCGTAGCTGCTGCCCGTGACAATGTTAATGCAACTGCTGCTCTTTTGTGATTGAAAACTCAGCATTTCTACACTATGTGTGTCTATTGCTGTTGTGCTCCCTGGATGTTGGTACTGTCATTTGTGATGTTGCAGTTAGGCTCTTTGTAATCACACACAGAAGATATGAGTTCCATCCCCCTAGAGGGGATGTTTTCTCTAGTATCTCCAGGGGCTATCCTGGTTTAGAGGTAAGATGTTCGCCTCTCATTCAAAAGTTCCTGGGATCAAAACCTGACAGCGATGAAAGAAATTCTTGAGAAAATATTCTCCTTTCATCTCATTTCCTGTTCTCTAGTTATGTCTTTTAATCTACTTTCATCTCAACCCTCCTATGGGCTCTCTCTCCTTTACTCTTTCTACTGCTACTCTGGCTCCCTCTTAGTACTTTCTTTCAGCCACACCCCTGATCACAGGGTAGGTAAGATTGAAACACCTAGCTTTCTTGGATAAGAGCGAAAAATCATGGAGGTCTTGTGTACAAGTTGTACATGTTAAAGGTCCCTTGGCGGTCCTAAAATCGATAAGAGTTGGCTTCAGCTGCCATCTGGGCAAAATTCGAAATTAATTCCCTTAGTTTCATTCAAAACTGAAAGTACTCAGTATAGAAAAATATATATAGTATACCTTCGAATTTGGAAAGACCACCCATGAGATCTAGTGGAGGAATGCAAGGAAGTATCTCCGTCTGTCTACTGGGCAGGGTCGTAAGCAGCTCACCTCTAAAATGATCTAAACTGTCACAGGGATGTAAAATTCTGAAAAATTTCACATTTTTTCTTACACCCAGGATGTCGTCCATTTCCACAAGACCTTGAAAAAAGCATGCGATGGTCACGGGAAGCAGTTGTACCCCAAGTACAAGAAGTGGTGCGACGATTACTTCCGCGTGCCTCACAGAGGTAACTATTCACTACCTTGGAATTAGAAAAGTTCTATCTTTGGCTGTTTTGAGTTAAAAAGACCATGAGGTCAGAAACCATATGTTCCACCTGCTCTATCAAAATCATAAGATTATTCGAAGATTTTATCGAGATGTTCAAAGAATTGCATTAGAAAAAGCTTGATATGTTGTGAAACTCAAACATTTTTTACATCAGATTTCTCAAAAGTAGGTACTGAGCAGGTAGAACTTCATAGTCTAGGCTAGCGTACTGTCACTCTTTCTTGAAGCAGAGGCTGTGGAAAGTGGCTATCGTGAGTTTTCTGTCTTTAGTCTTTACCACTGTCTCTCTTTGGCTTTGGTTAACTGTGACTAATTTTTAGTTGTATTTGTGGGTGGTTTGCTTCTTGCTGCTGCTTCTTCTTTCCAATGAAACATCTATCGTCCTTATCTCCCCTTCTCCTTTTTTATGTTTGTTACTCTCTTGTAACACCTCTATTCTTCTGGCGCTCATATGACCTTATGCAGTTGCGAGTGCCGCAATACCCCTACTAAAACAAAACTCAGTTGTATTAATTTTTGTGCTCATTCTTTTTCAATGTAGGCAGGTAGTTGGAGAAGGCCACTGGTAGGTCTTACTTCTTTTCTTTCCTCTTGTTGGTTTGTCTGTCTGTCTTACTTTTTCTCTGCACTAAATGACCATTCTTGTGTCGAATTGGTTCTCTTTTCTCCAAGGAAATATTTCTCTGTATAGATCTGGTATTTGTTTGTGCTTGTTTTGCAGATGTGTACTTGTATGTTGGTGTGTGAGTTTTTTTTTACATTACTGAAAAAGAGAGAAAAAGAGTTGAGAGGGAAATTTATGTTATGCATTTGGATTTCTGTATGCAAAATATGTCCATATTTTTTGTTTGGATGACAGAAAGCTGTATATGCCTTTTGACTGAACGGTCCCTGGCTTTTTTCCTCCTCATCAGGTGAGAGTCGAGGAGTGGGTGGAATCTTCTTTGACGATGTTGACGAGCCATCCCAAGACAAGTGTTTTGAGTTTGTCACTGTAAGTTTTAGGAACATTGTTGGTTTGTTACAGTCTGTCCCCGTAGTTTTATGCAAGAAAAATTCTGAAATTATGCAAACTGAACCCCAAAAATGTGAAATTATGCGATTCTGTTAATTTTAACAAATAATGATAAAGGAAAATAATCAGAAATTATGCAAAAAATGATCAAATTTTGCTAAATTATGCGGGGTGCATAAAACTACGGGGACAGTTACAGGAAATTAGAGTTTCATTAGGTGTGCAGCTGCAGGGAATGTTCAACTTCTGTCATGTCTGAAACATGTCCGTAGTCACAGCAGATGTTTGGAGAAGGTGACTGGTAGGCTCTTCTTTTCTTTTCCCCTTTTGTTTCAGTCTGACTGTCTGACTTTTTCTGCACTAAATGACCTTTATTGTGTCTATGTGTTTCTCAAAGAAACAATGACGTGTTTGTTCAGAGGGAATCAACATGTTAATGGAGACGAATAGGAGAGTGAACAAAAAACCCCCCAACCTGTTCTGATATAACAACGAGCTTATAACTTTTTTCAAGAGGAGGAAAGTTGCGTTGAAGGTACAACGTTCTTGGGATCAAACTCACAGTAAGAACTGTTGGCAGTTATTGTGTTCTGATCTTGAGTCCTTACCCTTTCTCATTTTAATGTTTATTATTTTTCCTTCTATTTGTGGCGTCGGTGGCCTAGTGGTTAGGCTCTCGGACTCGCAACCATAAGGTCGTGGGTTCGAATCCCGTCAAGGGCCCGACGTTGTGTCCTTGGGAAAGGCACTTTACACAAATTTTCCTTACTTCACCCAGGTGAGAATGGGTACCCAGCTATAGACAGCGAAAGATCTTGTCAGTTTGTTAGTGCTTGAGCGCTTTATCAGCTGCTTGCACTGTATGCTTCCCGGGAAGCTGAGAATGTTTCAGAGTGTTCTATGGTCTGCTGGGGTAATAATATAGTGTAAAGCGCATAGAGCCTGCTGTTGAGCGGGGATATGCGCTATACAAATGCTATCTATTATTATTATTATTATTACATAAAAACCTTTAATTCAGCGTGCTCTTTTCAGTTCATCTACATGAACAACTGATTTTTGTTGTCCAATGAAATGTGGCTATTATAATTTAATATTGGGTCTTTGTCAATTCAACACTCAATTCATTCAAATTGAACTGAGGATTTCTCTACTGTAGTCCTTGGCTAAAGTTCAGAATAAAAGATAGATACTGTGGACCTGCACCCTCCATTTATTTTCTGTGCCTTTAAACTTTCATAAAATGTTGCATGTGTATTTCACCAAGTGCTTTGTGGGTGGTTGGCGGGTGCTCTAGTGTGGTTTACTCCTTATCTCTATCAAATGTTTATCATCATTATCTTTCCCACTTCTTTACTTTGTATGTTACTCTCTCGTAACACCTCTGATCTTCAACACTTATGTGAGACCTATTCTTGTTGCCGTAAAACTCTTATTAAAACTAAAACACCTAGTGGTTAAAAAAATTCATTTTCTAAGATGGCATAATCTCTGGTGACTCATGTCCTTCAGCCTAGGAGTGTGCTTATTTTTTAAAATCGATATTTAGCGAAGTGATATGATAGTGTGAGTTCTTCATGCATGTCTCTAAAACTCATGTATTTAGAGGAGGGCTGTTTGTTTCAGGACTGTGCCGAGTCTGTGGTCCCGTCATATTTGCCCCTTGTCCAAAAACACAAGAAAGATGGAGTCAGCTATCCTGAAAGGTAGGTAATTTATTGGGTTTTTCCCACCGTTGTTTGACAAAAAGCACTCTTCACGGGTGATTGGTGAGTGCTCTGGTCTGGTTTGCTCCTTCTTTCTTATCAAACATCTATCGTCCTTATCTCCCCTCCTATTTTTTTGTGTTTGTTGCTCTCTTGCAACACCTCTAAGCTTCGGCACTTATATATGACCTTATTGTGTTGCAAGTGCTGTAATACTCTTACTAAAACTAAACAAAAACACTGTTTTACAGTGATTGTTGGAGAGTGCCATTGGTAGGTTCTGCTTCTTTACTTTCCCCTCTGTTGTTTCTGTCTGTCTTACTTTTTCCCAGCACCAAATGACCATTATTGTTTTGATGTTCTTCTCTTTACTCAAACAAACAAACTGATTGTGGTACTGTTCTGTAAGAGCCATGAGTTCATAATTGAGCTGGTATTATGTAAAGGGGTGGTTTGGGAGTGCCACAGGAATGTCATTCTTCTTTTCTTTCCTTGTGCTGTTTCTGTCTGTCTGCTTTGCATTTTGTTAGCACTAAATGATAGTTATTGTGTTTATGTGCTTCTCTTTACTGAAACATCCACATTTTTCCACGGAGCAAGTTCTTGCAGTGTTCACTGATCTGCTTGATTAACATTAATGTAGTTGTTGTTTGTTTTAGAATAACTAAGAAGTCAGCATCCATGTTAGTATGTGCAGTCTTGTTATCAGGTCAGTGTGCTTCCCTTACTTGAGTAAGGATTGGCACCACCAATCTCAGCATTTTGTTTTGTGGGATAAAAAAAAATCACTGGAACGTTTCCTATGCATTGTTTTGATCTTAGTCTAAGGGTGTGGTGCTGTGCAAATTGATGCTTAAGGCTTTGTGTTTTTTTATATCTATCCAGTGTGAATTGTTCTTGTGCATCAACGCTCATCTCTGTGTCATTCTGCCTCTAATGAATGAATCGTCAATGTTCAACAGAGTGTGAACACTGGTTTTCTGAAAAGTGGAAAAAAAATTTCTTTCTTTCTTAGTATCCACCAGTATTGTTCTCAATAATATGTAGAGTATTCTTTTTACATGCTGTAGTACCACCAATTGTAATTATGGTTTTCACTTTCTGTCTGATGGCTTTGTTCACCTTTCATGCTCTGTCTTTTGTTCCCAGAGAGTGGCAGCTGCTGAGAAGAGGCCGCTATGTTGAGTTCAATCTGATCTATGACAGAGGAACAAAATTTGGCCTGTACACCCCCGGAGCCAGATATGAGAGCATCTTGATGTCCCTGCCCCTCACAGCGGTTAGTGAATTTGTTGACTTGTTCCTTTTGTTCTATGATGACCAGCGTCTGTGGTGTAGTTGTTAAGGGGGTCTTCGTCATTGTATACAGAAGACATGAGTTTGAGTTACGGATGGGGATTGTTTTTATTATCTTCGTGTCTCTGCATGGATGCTGTATCCTGCTCAGCCATGCGTGATTGGCAGGTGCTCTATTGTGGTTTAGCTTCTTCTGTCCTATGAACTATCTGTCGTCCTTATCTCTCCTCCTTTTTTTGTTTGTTACTTTCTTATAACACCTCTAATCTTTGGCACTTGTGTGACCTGATTGTGTTGCAAATGCGGTAAAACACTTTCTAAAACAGAAAACTGTTCAGCCTAGGTTGGCCCGGACAGCCAGGGCGTGAGTATAAAAATTTACCTTTAAGTTGTAAGATCTATACAAGTAGGCTCTTTTGAAGGTGGGTCTGGCAGTGAAGGTTTCTGGTGATGATTTTTTGTTTTCATGACAATAGAGATCCTTGTTATTAAAGATTGCACGGCAGATGATAAAGTAGTAAATGTGGAGGATGCCATCCTTTTGCCAGACAGATTGTGATGTATCTAAACAGTTAAAATGTGTATTAATTGTCTTGCTTTTTAGTTTTTTTTCACACTCTTATAAAAAGTACAAAAACCTGAGTTAATTGTATAGAATCCTGCTGCAACAATATATACCCTCAGTGTCATTCCACAATCATCCAAATCATTTCATTTAGCTTTCCAGATAAAGCTGTTATATAAAGACATCAATATGCTCCAGTCACTGTTCTGCTTTTGGCTTTCGCTCGTTTTCTTTTCTTTACTTTTCCTAAAACGTCAAAATATGACGTGGATGCTTGCGGGATGACACTTACAAAATGTGCTGTAATAAGTTGCCATGTTCTGTCATGTTCTGGACGTTATCATCACTGTCTTCTTGTGGGAGGTTGGCAGGTGCTCTGGTGTGGTTTGCTCCTTCTTTCCTATCAAACATGTATTGACCTCATTTTTTGTGTTTGTGTTACTCACGTGTAACACCTCTTTGGCACTTATAACTTAACTGTGTTGCAAGTGTCGTAAAACACTTATTAAAACGAAAAAACTGTCTTCTTATGTTTGCTGCCATTGTAGCTTTGGAGCTGTTAGTTATTTGGCTTGCCAGCACTTAATCATTCACGATTTGATGCCAAGTGGGTTTATACTTTGTTTATTCAAGTGGGTTGTATTATTACTTGGTGTTTTCAATGTACTGCTGTAATCTTTACTTCTATCTTAGGATCTAAGTTGTCTTATCATTTCTTCTTTTTTTCTTCTTTCTAACTTTCATTCATCCTTTCTTCAGAGATGGGAGTACAAGCACTCCCCTCCTGAAGGCTCCCGGGAGGCTCAGCTGACTGAGGTTTTGAAGAATCCGCGCGAGTGGGTGTGAAGACGCGATGGAATCAGGATTAGTCAGTGTAATGCGGAGATGAACAAGATGACCCCCAAGCACAACTTCTGGCAGGGCAGTAAAACTTTGGCCAGTCGTTGAGATGTACTGAGCCCAACATTTTGAAAATTTTTATTGCGGTTTCTTAATCTGTGGTATTGGGTGCATGTGCTTAAAAAATATTTTGTTGAAATTACAATTCTAAATGTAGTAACAAGGGAGAAAAAATGCACAATACAGAAACAATTGTTAAAAGAATTAAACAGATTCTTCTCTTTCCTAAAAAATTTTGCTCCGCTTAGCACATTTGAACAGCTTGCTGATGAAAAAATAAACTGATGATAATGATGGACAGTCTGGCTGTGTCACATTTTACGAAAATGATTTATGACTAAAGGCAAGACAGACTTGATGGTGCAAAGTAAAAAACAGAAAAAAAAAACAAATGTTTGTCTTAAATGGGGGAAAAAATGTGAAAAAAATGTGTGAGAGGAAGACAAGTGAAGTCATAACAAATAAATATTCTTGTTTTTTAAGTTTTGGAATAAGCAGATTTTGTGCCACATTGTTGTAGATTAATTTGTTGTTAAGATGGGTAACAGAAAGTTATAAAGTCTGTTACTCCCACAATAATGATAATGTTGTCGTTATGCTATCCAGTGCCTTTTTTTAGACCAATCTACTTCTTGGTCATCACATGATACCATGAGGCTGGCTAGCAAAGGGAATGCTGTCATGGAAACTAAAGTATAAATATATATATATTTTTTTCACTTTGTTACAATAACCACACAATGGTCCTGTTTTTATTTGGTATTTGTTTTAGAGTTTAAGTGACGATTTTGTCCCACTTTTTATTGTCAAGCGCATTTCTTGTATTCCTTTGATAACGATTTTTTTTTAAATGCAGCAAGTGATTGGAGGATGGTACCGTAGTAATTATTTCAGTTTCCGTCCAATGAGACTGGGGTTATTTTTTGTTTGCATTCATGCTTTTTTCATAGTCTTTGTGGTAGTCAGCATGTGTGTGTATGTCCATTTTTGGTTGTTAAAAAAATTTTGATCGGATCTCTTTGCTGTATACTGCCTTTTTGGAGTCCATGGACAACTCCTGCGATATTACAATTTTTGTTTTTGTTTGTTTGTTTGGGTTTTTTTTTACTTCTGTGAACAAATTTTATACTTAAGAGTTAAGATTCCTCATGTGCATTACATCTACAGTCGGACTCGGATACAACAGGACAGACGGGACCGGCAATTTTTCACTGACTGTTATAAGTGAGTCCTGTAAGAACTATTATCGAGCACCATTGCACCTTCAGCTTACTTTATATATTCGATTACAGCAGATCCTTTTTCAGTGGGCTGTTTTGCTGACACTGAGACAGAATCGATCAGTGACCCCACACTATGTGGGGTGGTGGGGGGTATGTGTTTGAAAGTTTGTGTTTAGGCAAACGATCATACAAACAAGTTGAAACAAATTTTAATAATTTGACGGATCGAAAGCAAGTTCATGCGCTGCAAGATGACTGTTCTATCCGAGTCAGTGCAAATTGAACCCTGTTATAGCCAGGTTCATATTACTTACACTTATAGAGAAAAAAACCCCTGGGTATTTGATTTATCACTGTTCTATCCAAGATCCTGCAATAACAGAGGCTGTTATAAATAGACTGGACTGTATGTTGTTCTTGCATATGGAACGTTTTGACTTCAGGCTCGTGAAATGTCGTGAATGAACTAAAAATTGTTCCTGACAACATCACTTTTTGTATAGAGTCAGTATTATGACCTTCTGAGCGTTTCTTCAACCTCCAAAGTGCTATCTTTTACATTTATTTTGTGAGTCTTTGTAAAGTGTGAAACTGAGTGTTCTAGTAGGTTGATATGGAAATGTTTGTCAACATCTTTAGGTGATATTAGCTGTGATATAGATACCGGTATGTGAATGTCAGAGTATGTTGAATCCTACTGAACTCCTAGAGATTATTTACCCCGAAGAGCCGATATTTAATAGGAAAATGATGGGTCGTTTAAGTGAAGACCATGAGTAAAGGTGGCCTTGAGGTTTAATTTGCTTGCGGCATTCATATCTTCAGAAATTTTCTCTTCGTAATTATATTATCAGTTAGTTTTGCATGTTGTTATCAGTTTGGCTCCTACTGGCTTTTTTGGGGGGTTTTTTCTTGGACCCTATGCCATGAACAGGTTGAACCGCGGAGTGGTTTTGTGGGCCTTCCTCAGCCTGGAGAAGGCATGTCTGAGTGACTATTTGGATACATTTTACTCGTGCACTCCTGTGACAGGAATGTAACAACATTTCTTTCTCTAGAGGCAGCTTGAAAAGGACAGGCATCTACATCTTCCCGGTGGCAAAAAATATCTCTTTAAAAATGTCTCCTTTTTTTGCTCCTTTCCTGCTCTCTAACCATGTTCTATCATCTGCTTTCATCTCCACTTTCTGCCCCCACCTCCTTTTGCCCCCTCTAGGCTCCATACTCTTTCTGCAGCCTTTCTACTGCTACTCCTTGGCCTATTCTTACTGTTGTCTTTCAGCCACACCCCTGATCTTAGGGTAGGTAAGATCTAACACTGCTTTCTTTGATAAGGGCGAAAAGTCTCAGAGGTCCCATGTGCAAGTTGTGCACTTTCAAGATCCCTTGATGGTCCTAAAATCGATAAGAGTATGCTTTGGGAGTCCTGCATGCCCATATGATCTTATGCTGTTAGTTGCAAGAGTGTAAAACGCTTTAAAAAGAAAACAAAGAGAAAGTAGGCCTACTTGACAGATTGGCTCGATAATGTAATCCTTGTGCACCACCTGGAAATACAGCTGAGTGATGTGGATTCTTACGCTGAAATTGCATGGGTTATGAATTAAGAATTAATGAGCTTCAAATGTGTTGCTTTCAAGAGTGTGTGCCTGTTACACAATTTACCTTTCTTTTCAAATGTGGCACATTGTATTTTTTTGCGCTTTATTGGCTGAAGAGTTTGGGTTTTTTTTCCAATTGGTGTGCCATTTCTTATTTAACTTATGATGCTTTTTGTTTGATTGTTTATAATTTGTTTCACCTAGTTATATATTAAAGCTCGAGGGAAATTCATGAGGGGTTGGGGGCAGTGGCATGTGTATTGAGTCTAGATGTGTAACGTTTTTGCTTTAGTTTCACCCTGTCCATTGGCACATGCTGCAAAGAAAGCTTAAATGCTCAACTTGAATATACAGTCGAACCTGTTTAAGACGGCCACCCATTGTCAATGAGAAAACTGGCATAAGACAGGTGGACGTCTTAGGCAGGACTGATCAAAATGAAGAAAACAAACCATTCCTTTCTGAGAAAACAAACCTTTCCTTTCTGAGGTCCCAACCAAAGGTAGTTGCATTGTTGCTGTTGTTTTCGCTAGGTTTTCTTTTCTTTTGTTGCTGCTTTTGTGCACGGGTGACAATAAAACGAAATGTGTCAGACAAGGAGGACCAAGTGCTATGGTAAAACAAACACACGTACTACCACTCGGAGAACAAGCGATGCCTCTGTCACAAGTTCATGTTGACGTCCATTGTTACTTTGTTACAGACTGGGTAAACAGTGACCACTCATCTCACTTGCGATTTGTGTAAGGGTTCTGGGCGGGGCTTATGGGTTATGAGTGATCACACGCTTCTTTTGTTACCTATTGGTCAACAGTGGGAGGGGCCTACGCAACATGATCAGTTGGAGGGACTACCTAACAACGACAGGTTTTTAGATTATGAGGGCTCGCCCACAACGCCAGGGGCCAATGCTTGATTTATGACTAAGGGTAATGGAGTCACTAAGGTGGCCGTCTAAGACAGGTGTTATTGCTTTGTTTGATAGGGGTTGTGTGTTGAAATATGGTGGCCGCGGCCGCGGCCGCGTTGGACAGGTGCCCATTTTACACAGTTAAATTATATAGAAAAAACGCAAGGGGGGGAATGGAAAGTGTCCATTTGTACAGGTGGCCGTCTTATAGAGGTGGCCGTCAGGGCAGGTTCGACTGTATAAATAAATCATTGTCATGTTAATTATTTGTGAAACAAATCCAAGGCCAAAACTTTACCACAGTTTCAGTTCGTTTTCTCCATACTCTTCATCCTCTCATTCAGGAACTGGCAGTGTTGACAAAATTTATGCTACAGCTTTTTCTATAGCCAGGCAGAACTCTTTATCAGTTGAATTTTCTTGTTTTTGATGAGTGTTCTTTTTTTTTTCTTTGACGTTGAGCATGTTATTAGGAATTTATTGAATATGCAAGATAATTTAATCAGAAGTTTTTGGTTTTTGGTGTTGCGGGACTCTTTGTATTGTTTGCATCACGGTGCTGTATCTGCTGCTGTTTATGTTTATGTTAGTAAAAGTGTGGGATGTTCCTGTTAAATAAGTGTGGGTTACATATGAACTTCACTTAGTGTTGTTGGTGAAAGTATTTTTAGTTTGTAGAAGTACTATTTGCAGTCAATCAGAAGTGATGCGCTTGCGGAGCATCTCCATTTCAAATCAAATTACATGCAACAATAAAATTTGTACTAACAAAGGGCTGTTTCACCTAAGTTTTTTTTCCAAAGTGAATAATTAGTTAATGTCTTGTATGTGTGTAGTGATTGTAATGTACATGTGCTTGTATGTCAAGTTTAGCTGATATTGAGTGGTGGTAGCCTGTATGGCGTTGGTAGGTCTCACTTATATTCTTTTCCTCTGCTGTTTTGTTTGTTGATCTTGCTTTTTCCTGCCCAAAATGACAGTTATAGACCTGACATGTTTCTGTTTACTCAAAACAAATTTGAACTATGAAGTCTTTGATTGTAGATGGACATTTAAGTGGCATATTTGGTTTCACATTTCAGCAGGCTGCCATGTAAGTTGCATTTTGGTATACCGATTTTGAGCCCCTAAACAATGTAAAAACTCATTTTCCAGTCCCAAGTTTAATGATTCTAAAGCTAAAAGGGGGTAAAAATAGCATCTTTTCCCATTACCTGTGAGTTTATAGATCTACAGCTACAAGAACAAAGTTTGAAAACTGTTTTGTCCAGAGGTAATTTCGACAGCACACCATGGTTTACATTTTTGTGGCCTGTTGTTAGCTGGGTTCTACCGGCTCTCAATGTCTGGTTTGAGACCTCAATCAATAATTTAAAGTGGCATTTTGCTGATCAAGGTGAATCAAGTGACTGCAGAGAAGTGTCCGACATAGAGCTTGATCAGGAATGAGAATGATACCTCAAGTGTGAGTGGTTGGCAGGTGCTCTGGTGTAGTTTACTACTTCTGTCTTATCGAACATCTATTGTCCTTATACATGTATCTACAACTCGTCCTTATTTGTGTGTAAGTTACTCTCTTGTAGTGGGTGGTTGGCAGGTGCTCTGGTGTGGTTTGCTTCATCTTCTTTCCTATCAAACATCTATCATCTTTATCTCCCCTCCTTTTTGCGTTCGTTACTCTCTTCACAGTAACA